AAGGAGAGTGTAGGGGGCAGGCTTGCAGGGTATACCCTTTGGTTGGTTGATGATGCATGGAGGGGACTGTAACCATTGTAACCATGGCAATGGAACGATATACGATAGAATGAATATAAAACTACTGTTCTCCCATGTAAACTATCATATAATTCACAATAAAACATCAAAAAAAAATGTAATCAAGATGTAGTGATAACGAATGGTGATTGTAATGAGAACGTTGGAAACAAAGAGAAAGGGTCAGTCACTGGAAAATATGGCCTTGGTAATAGAAATTATGCTGGAGATTGTATAATAGAATTTGGCAAGACCTTGTTCATTGCAAATACCTTTTTTAAACAACATGAAAGATGACTATACGCATGGCCCTCACCAGATGGAATACACAGAAATCAAACTGACTACATCTGTGGGAAGAGATGGTGGAAAGCTCCACATCATCAGTCAAATCAAAACCAGGGACAGACGTAGAGCACACCATCAACTGCTCATATGCAAGTTCAAGCTGAAACTGAAGAAAATTAAAACAAGTCCATAAGAGCCAAAATATGACCTTAAACATATTCCACCTGGCTTTAGAGACCATCTCAATAACAGATTTGATGAATCAGAACACTAATGACCAAAGACCAAAAGAATTGTGGAATGACATCAAGAACGTCACACAGTAAGAAAGCAAAAGGTCATTAAGAAGACACGAAAGAAGGAAAAGACCAAAATGGATGTCAGAAGAGACTCTGAAACTTGCTCTCCAGTGTAGATGCTAAAGCAAACTGAAGAAATGAGCTTAATAGAAAACTTCAAAGGGCAGCTCAAGAAAACAAAATCAATTATTATAATGAAATATGCAAAGACCAGGAGTTAAAAAACCAAATGGGAAGAACATACTCAGTATTTTGCAAGCTGAAGGAACTGAAGAAAAAATTCAAACCTTGACTTGCAATATTGAAGGATTCTAAGGATAAAATTGGAGTCCTGGTGTGGTGCTGTGGGTTAATGCGCTGGACTGCAAGGTTGGTTTGAACCGTAAGGTCAGCAGTTCAAACTAACCAGCCATTCCTCAGAAACCCTATACAGAGCTGTTATGAGTCAGAACTGACTCAACAGCACTTAACACAATGGGCAAAATTTTGATTGATGCAGAAAGCATCAAAAGAAAGTAAAAGGAATAAACAGGAGTCACTGTACTAAAATGAAATGTTCGATGTTCAACCATTTCAAGAGGTAGCATATGATCAAGAACCAATGGTACTACAGGAAGAAGTCCAAGGTGCACTGAAGGCAGTGGCAAAGAAAAAGGCACCAGGAATTGATGGATTACAAATGGAAAATTTTCAACAAACTGATGAAGCATTGGAGGCACTCACTCTTCTATGCCAAGAAATTTGAAAGACAACTACTTGGCCAATGCAATGGATTTTGTGCCCATTCCAAAGAGAGGTGACCCGATGGAATGCAAAAGTCATTGGACAATATCATTAATATTGCATGCAAGTAAAATTTTGCTAAACTGAAAAACAGCTGCAACAGCACAGATATAGAACAGAAGTTCAAACTGCATTCATACAAAGACGTGGAACGAAGATATATCATTGTTGACATTAGATGGATCTTGGCTGAAAGCAGAGAATATGAGAATGTTTACCTGTGCTTTACTTATGCAAAGGCCTTCGATCATATGGATCATGACAAGCTATGGACAACACTATGAAAGTAAGTATTCTGGAACACTTTCTTGTGTCCATGAGGTACCTGCACATAGACCAAGAGGCAGTGTTCAAACACAACATGGGAAAACAGAATGGTTTAAAGTTAGAAAAGGTGTGTTCCAGGGGTGTATTCTTTTGCCATATTTATTCACTCTGTATGCTGAGCAACTAATTTGAGAAGTTGCATTATATGAAGAAAAATGTGGCATCTGGGTTAGAAGAAGACTCAGTAACAACCTGCGATATGCAGATAACACAACCTTGCTAGGTCAAAGTTAAGAGGACTTTTTACTGATGAAGATTAAAGACCACAGCCTTCAGGATGGGTTGCACCTCAACATAAAGAAAATTAAATTCTCACCACTGTACCAATAAAAAACTTCAAAATAAATAGAGAAAAGATTGAAGTTGTCAAAAGATTTCATTTTGCTCAGTCAACCATCAACACTCATGGAAGCAGCAGTCAAGAAACCAAATGGCGTATTACATTAGGCAAATCTGCTGCACAAGACCTCTTTTTAAGTGTTCAAGAGCAAAGATGTCTGTTTGATGACTGGAGGATGTGCCTGACCCAAGCCATGATATTTTCAATAACCTCACATGCATGTACAAGTTGGAATTTGAATAAAGAATACCACAGAAGAATTGATGTATTTGAGTTATGGTGTTGGAAGAGAATATTAAAAGTACCATGGACCAACAAAAGAACCAACCAGTCTGTGTTGGAAGAAGTATAGTCAGAGTGCTCCTTGAAAGCCAGGATGGCCAGAGTTTGTCTCTGATACTTGGGACATATTGTCAAGAGGGATCAGTTCCTGGAGGATATCATGATTGGTAAAGTGAAGGGTCAGTGAAAGAGGAAGCCTCCCAACAAGATGGACTGGCACAGTGGCAACAGAAATGGGCTCAAAGGTAGCAGTAATTGTGAGGTTGGCACAATAATTGGCAGTGTTGTTTTCTGTTGTGCATAAGGTCACTGTGAGTTGGAGCCAAGTCGACAGCACCTAACAACAACAAGTCCACAAAGACAATGTCCTACATCCTGATTGGGTGAGTAGCGTTGAGGATCTTGGTAGCTCATGAGCGGCCATCTAAAATGCAAGTATTGGTCTCTCCATGTGTGGAAGAAAGAAGAACGGTAAGAACTGAAGAGACATCAGTCCACCAACTAATGGAACATCAGTGTCCACGACTCTGAGACCAGAAGAACTAGAAGGTGCCCGGCTACCACTACCAACTGCTCTAAAAGGAATCACATTAGAGGGTCCTGGATAGAGTGAGAGAAAATATGTGAAACAAAACTCACAATTATTAAAAATAAGAAGACCCGGTTTACTGGTCTGAGATTAGAGAAACTTGAGACTATGGCCCTCGAACACCCTTCAGGTCTGGAAAGGAACTCACCCTTTTGTAGCCTAATTTTCAGTCTAGCAGTAGATACGTGGAGACAACAACACTAATAAGGTATGCTCAGCATGGAATGGTTAATTATTCCAAAGTAAATGGTAACCATTTTCCTAAGGACAAAGTTGACACGGGATGAGAAGGTGGGTGGTGGATGGAATGCAAATAGGAACCAAAAGGAGGAGGCAGGATCATTTGTTGCATGAAGAGGATAGTAATCATTGAGGGGAAACATAGTATATGATTTGTTGAATGTAAAACTAATGATTTTGTCTGTAAACTTTCACTTAATTTACCATAAAGTTTTGTTTAAAAATCCAGGGGCACATAGCATGAAGCTAAAATCAAATATGCAGTTGAAAGAAAGAGAAGTAATAGATATAATAACCTCCTATGAATGAGGCATACAAAGGCGATTACCTACTCCTTAAAGAAAGACTTTATTGAGTAATTCAAGATTAATCAGGAAATAGCTACATTCACAGAGCCACAGACAAGTTAAGTGAGATAAAGACTGAAAAGGACTAGCTAGATCTGGCAATTAGAACAATGGTGATCTTGGCAAGAGCAATTTCTAGTCTTTGCCCATATGAACATCATTGTGTTGAAGGGTCTGTGAGTGAGAATATTGGGATAGTAAATTTATTACTATTCCAAGTAGCTCAATTTGTGTTCTTTTGGTACAAATTCCAGTATCAGCAATTCAGTTTCCCTCAATTATGTAAAAACAACAAACTACGAATGGGGACTTCAGTCTGATTTGTAGTATTTTGGATTTTTAAAAAGCAGAATAAAGGTAATATCTGTGTAATCAAATTTAAAAATAAAAAATTTTAACAAAGTAATCTGATACAACCAAAAATCTAGCCTTTCTAATGCATTCAATTGAAAATGCCCATGCAGAGACACTGCCATCTCCTGGCAACGAGAGATTGCGTCACAAAAGAGGACTCACATCAGCAACTCCTACTAGAAATCATATCAAAAACCAGTTGTATGCCAAGTTATGAGAAATGACTAAATAATTTTTTACAATTACAGCCCAAGGTTTTTGTTAAAATTATTACAGCCTCCTATAATTAATTATCTGGAGTCCTGGTGTGGCACTGTGGAAAAAGCACTGGACTGCAAGGTTGGTTTGAACCACAAGGTCTGTGGTTCAAACTCACTAGCCGTTTCTTAGAAACCCTACACAGGGTTGCTGCGAGTCAGAACCGACTCGATGGCATGTAACAACAACAACAATAATTATCTGTAACCAGGCTTACACACACATATGAAAATAAATCTCACATTTATACTGTACTTGCACTAACATGTCCTTTTCAAAAGACCCTATGAGGCAGCAGAGAGGGAATCATTAGCTTCATTTTATCAATGAAGAAACAGATCAGAGGCTGTCTGGCTCACTTAAGGTCACACAGCTAGTTATTCTGTGTGCCAGGACTACAAGTTTCTTAGTCCTGAGGTAGGATTTTTCCCACATACTAAAGGGAAACTGGGAACATGAAAAAAAAAAAAAAAAAGAGAAAGAAAACCAACAGAATATTTTATTATACTGTGAGGTTACCTTATTTTGGTTTGCAGAACGGGAATGACTTTTCCTAGTCTTCTCTGGTGGACTTTCATCTTCCCAGAATCCTTGTCAAAATTATCCTTTTTTTTTTTTCAGAGCATAAGGAATGCAGAAGGAAAGATGGCTCTTAGTATAAGATAATAATTGATAATAAGCAACACTATTTATGGAACTATTTCTAAGCTACTAGCTACAAGCATATACCCTGGGGTAGCACACATGATGGTGGGTACTCTTTTAAGTAACTATAATCTTAGGAAAAAGAACCTTTGCACAGAAGGCTTATTATACCCATTTTACAGACAGGGCATCAGACTCAAAGGGGTTAGCAAATTATCCAAGATTTTCAACTCTTTAATGGTTGACTCAGAATTGGAGCTATATCTAATACAGCATGTTGTTGTTGTTGTTAAGTGCCGTCGAGTCGGTTCCAACCCATAGCGACCCTGTATAGGGTTCCCAAGGCTGTAAATCTTTACGGGAGCAGAAAGCCTCATGTTTCTCCTGCGGAACAGCTGGTAGTTTCGAAATGCTAACCTTAAGGTTCGCATTGATTAAGGTTGAAACCCAAAGAATGAAAAAACAGTAATAAAATCATCATCATCTTAGTAATTAATTATTCACTAAATGGTAAGTTAATGCCTCGAGTACACAACAATAAACATTATTTTATTTAATCGTGTGGGTTAATGCGTTGGACTGCAAAGTTAGTTTGATACGCAAGGTCAGCAGTTAAATCTCACCAGCTGCTCCTTGGAAACCCTTTACAGGGTCACTAAGGATCAGAACCAACTCGACAGCACTTAACAGCAACAACGTGATGGACTCCTGGCGTGGCACGGTAGGACAAGCCCTGGACTGCAAACCAGAAGGTCAGCAGTTCAAACTCACTAGCAGCTCCTCAGAAACCCTATACAGGGTTGCTATGAGTCAGAATTGACTCCACAACACTTAACAAACATACTGTGAAGGAGTCTTGGTGTTGCGCTGTAGGCTAAATAAGCACTGGACTCCTAAGTGCAAGGTAAGTGATTCAAACTCACCAGATGCTCCTTGGAAGCCCTTTACAGGGCTATTGAGTCAGAACTGACTCAACAAAATGCTGTGTGCAGTGTAGCACCAGTGACAGTGAGCTTTACGCATTGAGTTGCTAATGGCACGGAGTATTTCTCAAACTCACCAGACACTCCATGAGAGAAAGACGAGGCTGTTGATTCTGCAAATATTTACAATCTTAGAAACCCTTATACACGATAGCTATGAGTTGGAACCAAATAGTTGGTAATGGATTTGGCTTTTATTTTTACACTGTGGAATATTATGTATTCCAATTCATAGACAGTGAGGAACAGAGAAGCTAAATGATTTTCTCAGGACCACACTGCTAGTCAGCATTCAAATCCTAATTTGTCTGCTATAATTCTTCTCTCACCTTGAAAACACGTACTTACTGTACTAGAAACAACCAGATATCTTACCTCACAACTTGAATGATGTGACCCACCATTTCTCCAAGATGATCCCATATTAGAGGAACTATCTGAATGGTCCAAGACCTGAGATGTAGGTTTCTTACTGTTAAGCATATTTCTATCAGTTACAATTTCTTGAAAGTTATTTTTCGCAGAAAGAAATGTGGGCCCATCCCCGGCAGACTTAGTGAGGCTGATCACTTCAGATTTAGTGCAAAATTTGCTCTCATCTGGGCTAACACTATCTTCTCTCAATTCTCCCCCAAGGAAACAGGGTTTTTTGATATCTTTGGGTGAATCATTCTTGTCATTATCAAGCACAGCATCATTAACTGTTGGATCAAATGGTGCAACAGTTATTTTTTTTACATTCTTATCTAGTGCAAAGCATCTGTTTAATGGTTTAGTAGGAGTTGGTCCATGATCAATTGATGTACTTAGCTGAGGTAGTTTGAAGAGGCCAGGGGCATCAGTTACTGGTTCCAAGCTGCATAATGAATTTTTCTCTTGGGGAGCATCAAGTAGAATTTGACTTTCTCTCTTCCTCTTCTCACCATGCTTGCTGTCATTTTTAAGTAACCCTCTTCCCCAAGAAAACTGTTTATTTGATAGGTCATCATCATCCTTTAATAACTCCTCAATCTCTTCCTCTGTGTAACTGAAATGACCATCATCTTCTTCTCCTTCAGACAGCTCCAGCAAGGAGTCATCCAATTCATCCTCATCCAAAGAACTCCAAGAAAATGTGGCACTGTTTTTAGGTAAGAGAGAGATACCAGAAGACTGTTCGGAGGGTACTAGTGAGCACGTCATATCTAGAGAAACAAAAGGCAGTTTCACTGAGGAACAGGAAATACCTTTAAATCAACTCCAACCCACTGTAAACCAGGTGTCCTAATACTTAATTAAAATCCTTTGCACTGAGACTTATAGCATGAAAAATAATTTAAAGATATTTAACTTTGCAAGAATCACGGAAATACATGTTAGAACAATGATATATTTTCTCCTATCAAAACATTTTATTAAAATAAAGATGACTGATAATAATCTGGGTGCTGAGGATGTGGAAAAATAAGTGCTCTCACATATTACCAGTGAGATTGGAAGGTCGGCACAATGTTTTGTGGATAGTAATTTGACAGTGCCGTTTGACCTCAAGAATTTCACTTCTGGAAATTTATCCTACAGAAATACCTCCACATATGCACATGGATATATACACAAGTATTATTCAAAATAGTCAAATATTGAAGACAACTTAAATGTTCATCACGAGGAAAATAGTTTAGTAAAGTCATGATTTTCATGTTATAGAATACTTTTCAACTGTTCAAAAACACAATGAAAGAGATTTGCATACGCTATTATGACATAACACCCATGACATAAAATTAAAAACAAACATACATTATGTAAAATGTTAAGATTTTCAAAGTTTACACTTTCAAAAACAAAAAATGTATTATTTTTGAAATTTAAACAAACAAAATAAAACAACTTAAAGAGTACAAGATAAAGAATTGTTTCCCATACTGTATAGATCTGCTGGAACAATCTTTGCCTTTGCCATGAGACCAAATGGAAAAAGGTTTCAGCTCCTGCTAGCTATTCCTTTCAGGAGACTTGTCAAAATGATTGACTCCCACCTTCCTGCAAGCACAAAGAAAATTAGAGGATCTTCTCATCACTTTCAACTCTTTAATTACAAAGTCAACTGCACTGTGCTCCATCTATTAATTTTGATCTTGGTTTTTTTTTTTTTTAAATACCAGAAAGTTAGATTTGAGTCAAAAATGCCAAAGAAAAAACCTTTAGAGAAAAAATTATGCAACTCAGGACCTAGTTTTGTTCTTCTCAACAATTTGTACTTTCTTAACAGTATTATTTATTTTATGTAGTAGGATGAATACTGGCCTGGTAGTCCAACAACCCAGGTTGTAGTCCTAGTCTACTACTAACCAGCTCTAATAACTTTGATAAGCCACTTAACCATCAGGACTTTCCTCATTTATAAAATTGGGAAGGGATAGAGAAGGTAGACTCGGCATTGTCTAAAATTCCACCGAGATCTAAAAATCAATCATATACATACACCCATCTTACTTTCAATATACCTATAAATACAGAGAAAAGGTCTGAAAAGACACAAATACAGAAATGATGACTATTATAACTTTCAGGGTATGGAAGAGGTCAACGGGAGACTTAGTTTCATCTTGCTTTTCTACTTAAATGTGGAAAACTGCACAAAATATTCAAACACTCAATTCCTAATCATTTAGAAAGTTTGTTGTAGCTTTTTTAACTGCAAATTTTCCCCTACTCCAGTTTCCTTTCACCAGGTAACTTGTTTTCATTTTAACCTATGCATTCAGACTCTTGAGCTACTACCATCTCGCAGTGTTGAGCTAGATATCATCTCTGTATGATTTTTAAAAATGGTATGGTTTCCACACACCAGGAATATACAATCTTGCTAGGAAGACATTAAAAGTGAGGCACCAATATTGCCCACACGTTGTATATTCTCATATTGTGGCGCTGTAGGTTAATGCAAAGTTGGTGGTTCAAACTCATCAGCCTTTCTCTCCTCGGAAACCCTATACAAGGTTGCAATGAGTCGGAACCAACTCAACGGCCCTTAACAACAAATAAGATTGTATATTCCTTGAGTGTGGAAACCACACTGTACTAGAGAAAGAGAAGAAACAGGCAGGGATTACAGAATTTTATAATTAAATTGGGACCTTAAAGAAAAAGGTAAGAAATATTTATTAAGCATCCTGGTGTGGCACTGTTAATTAATGCACTGGACTGCAAAGTCAGTTTGAACTGTAAGGTCAGTGGTTCAAGCTTACCAGCTGCTCCTCAGAAACCCTATACAGGGTCGCTATGGGTCAGAACCAACTTGACGGCACTTAACAACAACAACCTTATGAACTATGGGTACATTTTGCAACTGTATAATTTAACCATTTAAAACAATTCTGCAAAACTAATCTTATCAATGAAACCAAGCTTTCTGTTGAATTTAAATTTAGAACTGCTAGGATTTAAAATTTTTATTTTACAAGTATTCCGGCAGTTGAGTGAGAAAGGCAAGTGCCTTTCTGAAAAGTTATATCTCTGTCCCATGAAAAGATATTTGTTAGAGTTGAAATTACTTCTTTTGACTGCAGTGATGGGAAAAAATGGGGGTGGGGGTGGAAAGAATCTTTAAGAAAGTTTGTGACTGTCGAGCACAAATATCACAGGCACTGGGGATTAGCAGTTCTATTTTTTAGAAGCCCTTTCTGAACCACCACTATCCTACCAAAACCTAGAGAGTCTCGTCCAAGAGCTTGTTTGATCAAACAGATTTTCACTCTTTGGAAAATAAAGTTTAGAGGTGTTAAGTAATTGAACCAAGTACAACCAAGTTAAGGAGCTTAGAACAAGAATGTAAACACAGGTCTAATTTCAAAAGTATTGTTTTTTCTACCACACTGTAACAGACTTTCTTAAGGTTGGTCAGTAAATGGCAGAGCTATAATTCAAACTCGGGCCTTCTAAACTTAATACAAACTCGAATATACTATGGAAAACATAAGCTTCAAACAAAGCTTTGGAGCCTTTAGCAAAAATTTAAGCCACCTGCTTATGGATAGAAACCTTTCTTTGGCCTCCCAGTTAGAACTGTGTACCATGAGAAATACCCACGAATGTGGCCAAACCTCTCTCAAAGAAAAATAATCATTATTTGAAAATTTTACTGTGCATACACCAGACCAATATTCTATACACTCATGGCAATCATCAATTCCTACGCCACACTACAGAGGGGCAGAGTTGGCTCTTCCAAGCTTTTCTAATAGAATGTTTCAAGAGATCTGGGATCCAAAGTACAAAAAACAATATACAGTTTTTATCATTCTGCAATCGTGTCAATTTTATTTCCTCTATAATAAAATACCTATTATTATCATAGAGAAGGAGTCCAGATATGGCGCTTTGAGCTAATGTGCTGGACTGCAAAGTCAGTTTGATCTGAAAGGTTGGTGGTTCAAATACACCAGCTACTCCTTGGAAACTCTACACAGGGTTGCTACGTGTGGGAACTGACTCGACGGCACACAACAACAAATCAGAGAAGTCCTGGTGTGGTACTGTAGGATAATGCACTAGACCACAAGATCGGTTTGAACCGCAAGGTCGGCGGTTCAAACTCACTAACTTGGAAACCCTATACAATCAGAACTGACTCCATGGCACTTAACAACAATCATAGAGAATTTAAAGCATACACAAAAGTAACAGAATAATACCATAAACCCCCACATTATTTACCCAACCCCAACAACCATCAGCCCATGGCAAAACTTGCCCTGCTCACTTCCCCATTCTATCCTATTATTCTGAAGCAAATCCCATATATCACATCATTTCATGTGTGAATAACAAGATATTAATTTTAGTGTCATATCATAAATATTATTCAGATTTCTTATTATCTCATGTCATAAGGTCTATTCACTGCAGTTAGCTATGTTTTGTAAATATTTTAATCTTATAGAGTTCCCATATTTTTCCTTACAATTTGTTGAAGAAAATACCATGTATTATTGATGGATACATATACATATGTAATAACACTTCCTAAAACACCCAGAAGGACATCTTCCAACTAACTAATGTTGTTGTTGTTGCTGTTGCTAAGTGCCCTTGGGTCAATTCTGACCCATAGCGACCCTGTATAGGGTTTCTGAGGAGCAGCTGAGAAACTTGAACTGCCAACCTTACAGTTCAAACCAACTTTGCAGTTCAGTGCATTAACCCCATAGCACCACACCAGGACTCTAGCTAAATAACTGTTGTTGTTAAGTGCCGTTGAGTTAGTTCTGACACACAGTGACCCTGTATAGTTTTCAAGAGTGGCTGGTGAGCTCGAACCACCGACCTTGTAGTTCAAACAACTTGCAGTCCAGCACATTCGCCCACAGCACCACACCATGATCTATTAATATCAAACAACATCCATGAAGAATGTGCTCCACAGAACAATCAACTATTCAGGAAAAAAAGGGCAACATTTACCCAAAATCAAAAATGAGAAGATGAGGAGTTACCAGGGAACCCAGGGAAGAAACAGGAAAAATGTTGACATTTTGTGGGAACTGCAACCAATGTCATGGAACAATTTGTGTACGAACTATTGATTTGGAAAACTAATATGTCATATAAACTTTTACCTAAAGCACAATAAAATATATTTTTAAGCATGAATAGCAATGAGAAACACCGAAAATTCAGGATAGTGGTTATCTCTGATAGTGGAAAGCAAAGAGATACAGCAAGGGGACATGGGGAGTTTCAAGTCTATAGGCAATGTTTACTTCCTAAAAAACAAAACAAAAATAAGTAAAGATCTGAAACAAAAGACAATGTATGATTAAGCTGGGTAATGGGTATACTGGTGTTCATTATTATTATTTCCTATACTTTTTTATGTGTTTGACATATTTAATAATAAATAAAATGTTTTAAGTCAATGGAAAGACACAATGATTACATTGTCAAATGGCAGGACAGCATATAATACCTACTTCACAGAACTGTTGCAAGAATAAAATAAGACCATGGTCATAAAGCACTTAAGCATACTACAGGTATAATGTAAGAGCTAAATAAGTGATGTTGCCGGGGCTAAATGCTTGCTAATCAGTAGATCAGTGGTTCAACTCCACCAGCCACTCTGCTGGAGTAAGATGTGGCAATCCTCTTCTTTAAAAATGTACAGCCTTGTAAATGTTGATGGACGAGTCCCACCCTGTCCTAAAGGGCTGTTATCAGTTGGATGGCAGTGGGTTTGGTATTTTTTGCTAGTTATTCCATCACACCCTCATTATCTCCCAACTCTGAAAGTTTTAAAAGAATATCAATGGGAGAAAAAAAGAAGGCTAACTGATAGAAACTTCTCCCAGTGCCTCTGCTTATTTAGAAATTATCTAGTATGATCTATTAAGTTTAACCCCAAATTCAATATTACCACTAAAGGTCAGGCTGGATGAGTATCTGCAGTATCAGGCAAATGTTGCAAAGTAATGGTCACTTGACTAAAATTCAGAAACCTCAGCTATTCCCTTGAAATCTGTGAACACTCATCTGAAAAAAAAAGTGAAGTAACTTCAAACAGATTATCATGAGGAGTAAATGACTGAAGAGATGTTTGTGAAAAGTACTCTAAGCCTAAAAACTTTATATTAACAAGAGTTGATATTTAATGAATTTGCAAAAAGGGAAGGGGGAAAAAAGCAGTATTGAAGTGTTAAAGTGAAGTTCCACATGACAAGACAGTAGGCCATCCCACCACCATCTGCCTCTCTTGGACCTTGCTTTGTAACCCCCACTTAAGACAAAACCCAGGGACCTCTATTTTTAAGAGTATTTTCCCATCTCCCAATTCCTCACCAACCCCCCCATCCCTTCTGTGACCCTATTCTGTCCTTCTACATCTCCCTCACCTGTCCGCCCACTTCTTCACACTTCAGTTTACCACCCCCTCGCTGTTCTCTAACCTCCTGGTTGCACCCTCAGAAACTGGTTCCCTTCCTATTTTTGTCTTACCTCAGAAAACCTACTGCCTTAGAGCACAAAGCCTTATTTTTCTTAACTGCAAAACTAAACACTTTCTTTTTCTGGCTCTAAAATCAAGACCCTCACTAAGCAGGGCCTGCCCAGACATCTATGGTCATGTTCAAGGATTATTTCCATTAGACAAGACTTCCCCACTGGCCTTTGTGATTCCCCACCTTTTCCACACTCCATAAATGAGCACCACACACATCACACTTTGGGCTTAGCACAAAAGGCACTCAGTTTGCTTTGTCGTCACTCCACAAAACGGGCATAACATTAAAAAAAAAAAAAAAGCAATAGAGAACTAAAATTATCTGTAAGATTTCTGCGACTCTGTTTGAGGTTACTGGGAACATTGTTGTTGTTAAGTGCCGTCGAGTCGGTTCCGACCCATAGCGACCCCGTACAGGGTTTCCGAGGGTTTAAATCCTTACGGGAGTAGAAAGCCTCATCTTTCTCCCGCGGAGCGGCTGGTAGTTTCGAACTGCTGACCTTAAGGTTCGCAGGCCGATTCGTAACCACTACGCTACCAGATCTCCATACTGGGAACATTAGAGGATGGAAAAACAACCCAGGGCTGAAAATCCCTGCATTAGGTAACATTTTACTAGATCAGGGTGCCAAGATGGTACTAAGCAGAAGCAACAGGTTTCTTTTTAGACGTATTTTTGTTTGGGTTTTTAACAACAAAAACAAAAAACCCCACGATTAAGACAAATCTGCTGCCACTAAGAAATCCACAAGAAACTGGAGATCAGATTCAGGGTACCAATGGGCATTTCAATCACTTCTGGGGTCTCTCCAAGGGCCCGCCCTGCGGTGCTAGCAACCTTCCTTCCTGCCCCGGAAGAAACTAGTGGGAGGGGAGTCACCACTCTTTGCGGACCAGGGAGAAGGGGTAGCTCAAACCCACCTTCCGGAGGCTACCGCCAGGCCTCCCCCAACTCCAGTCCTCAGAAATGCCACGGCCCAGACCTCGGACCAGGGACTTCCTACTTCCTTCCTCAGCAACCAAAACTCCCGCCTCCCCGCCACAGGCGGGAGAAGCGGAGGCTTGCTCCCTGCCCCTCCCCCAGCAGTGGCAAAACTGGCCCCTCAGGTCAGGGGGCTGCAACCCCCTCCCCCATTCGACAGGCAGCCCGCGTCCACACCAGCTGAGCTAAACCCCCGCTCCCCCATGTGGATAACAGGGTGCAGTAGGGAGGCGGGTCATCCTGTCCCTGCCCCACCTGCAAAGAGCAGCGTAAAGACCTCAATCGCGATCTTCACCTTAGCAGCACCCTTCCCCCAAGTGGGTATTGCCCACCCACTTACACATTAATTTCCCCCACCCACTGTGCAGGGAAGACAGACATCACTTCCCGCCTCTCAGGTGACCAAAGAGCCCCCCTTTTCCTCAGCAGGGTGAGGAGCTTCCATCAGCCACCAACGTGGTGGGAGGGGGCAGGAACAGTAGCCCTGCTATCACAAGAACCAGGATCACCCCTTCTCCCAGCAGGGTGAGGGCCTCCCAACCCTTCGACTAGGTGGATGCATACATGCGCCTCCAGAGAAGCAACAGGCGCCCCCAACCCCTTCCCAGCCGAAAACGCCGACCCCCCTCGTCCCTCTCGCTTTTCACCTCCAGAAACCGGGCCGAAGCCTGGGCGAACGACTGAGCCTCACTCCGCCCCCTGCGCCATTTTATCGACCCCTCCCCGACCTCCCCCCACTCTGAGGCTGCCTGGGCAACGCCAGGAGGAGGGCAAGCAAACGGTGATTGGCAGGAACCCGCCCCGCCTCTTAAGGTGGCTCCGCCCCCTGCCCGTGCCCCGCGCAGGCGCCTCAATAACACCTTTCACCCATCTCCCCCCCCAACCTGGCTCCACTCATTCTTGTCTCATCGACCTGCTCGACTCTCTGCTTTTCCTGACTCACAGCCACGGCCAGTCGCTGAAGGGCTCAGACCAAATAAGTCGAGCAACTATCTCATCTGATGCAACCTACCTAAACTCGCGTGACGGTTCCTGATACACTGCCGCTGCGGCTACTGAGGAAGGAGCGTGGGCACTGGGCTAGAGGCGTAAGGTGGTAGAGGCGGCGGTGGAACCATGGGGGACGCTCTGAGCCCTGAGGAGAAGCTGCACCTTATCACCCGGAACCTGCAGGTCGGGCCTCGGGGTTGGAACTGCGCGATTGAGGGTCTGGGGCCCTAGGTCCAGTGATCGTGAGACCCACGAGGGGGTCATAAATGTGTAGGCCGGGAATTCAGTATCCGAGCAGCTATGAAAGAACCTATCGGTTGGTCAGTCATTCTGACTGACTCGCTTTCTATGTACACTCTGCCTTGTGTTTGAGTCAGGCTTTTAGTTCAGGATCCCACTCTACGCACCACATATGTGCCAGGTGCGGTGCTAGACACTGATTACCGTCAAGACCCTGACCTCCCAGAGCTTGCCTAGAGAAGATCAGGCGTTTAAGGTGACCCATAGTGGAGACAAGTACTGGAAAGAATTGTACATTGAGTTTTGAAAGAGAATCAGGAAAGGAGTGGAGGGCGGCGAGGCTGGGAAAACATCCATGAGGAAGTGACTTCTGAATCACACCCTGAAGGATACAGATCATCCCTTCACTCCAGTGTTTTTCGTCTTACTGTTTCCAGAATTGATGGTATAGGAGTTAGCCAGAAGAAGAATGAGAGAAGGAGCATTTCAGGTGCCAGGGCCAGATAGGAGAAAGAATTGTGGGTCAAATAAAGGGCTAAGTTAAATAGAATGGGAAAAATGCAGATCAAGCTCTTAATAAAGGGATTTTTAAAATTGCTTATTTCTCACCTCTTTTGGAGTCGTGGTGTGGCATTGTGGGTTAATGCGCTGGACTGCAAAGTCAGTTTGAATCACAAGGTTGGCAGTTCAAGCTCACCTCGGAAACCCTATTGTTGTTAAGTGCCGTCGAGTCAGTTCTGACCCATAGCGACCCTGTACAAGGTTTCCGAGGGTGTAAATCTTTACGGGAGTAGAAAGCCTCATCTTTCTCCCATGGAGCGGCTGGTAGTTTCGAACCGCTGACCTTAAGGTTCGCAGCCCGATTCGTAACCACTACGCTACCAGAGCTCCTTATACACAGTCTCTATGGGTCTCAACCAACTCTACAGCACTTAACAACAACACCTCTTTTAGGTTTCTGACTATTGCCATCTTAGGTGCCTTTCTGACCATTATATTTAAATAGTGAACTTACCATCAGAACTAACTCTTGCCCTGCCTCTGCCACCCCAGTAGCATTTATACCCTCTGACATACTGTAAATTTTACTTGCTTAGCACGACACACCACCACCATCAGGATAGGGGGAGGCAGGGACCAAGTCTTGTAGGCTATGTTTAAAATTGGACTTTATTCTAATGAACAGGTATACATTACTTGGGCTACTAGCTTCTTTTGTTGCTATTTTGTTTGAGATATAATTTACTCTATAAAATTCATCCTTTTAAATTGTACGGTTTAATGGTTATGCACCATCACCACTAATTGAAGAACATACTCATCACCTTAAAAAAAAAACCATACCATTGTTTTGTTATTGTTGTTGTTAAGTGCCATCGAGTCCAACCCATAGCAACCCTGTGTAGGGTTTCCAAGGAGCAGCTGGTGAGCTTGAACCTCCAACCTTGCAGTTCAAACTGATGTTGCAGTCTGGCGCATTAACCCACAGCGCCACACAATTGTTGTTAAGTGCCATTAGTTGTTGTTAAGTAGGAGTGGGTTCCAACTCATAGTGACCCTGTATAGGGTTTCCAAGGAGTGACTGGTGAGTTTGAACCACCAACTTTGTGGTTCAAGCCAACCTTGCTTTCTAGTGTTTTATCCCACAGCGCCACACCAGAATACCATTAGTAGTCAGTCACCATATTTCCCAGTGCTATGGAATGACTAGTTTACTTTCTGTCTTTATGGATTTGCCTATTCTGGACATTTCTTTCAATTCATACATTTCATGTCTGGCTTCTGTCATTTGGCATAATGTTTTCAAAGTTCACTCTTATAACAGATACCAGAACTTCATTCCTTTTTAATGTAGACTATTCTGTTTTATAAGGAGCTCTGGTAGCGTAGTGATTACAAATCGGGCTGCGAATTGCAAGGTCAGCAGTTCGAAATTACCAGCTGTTCCGCGGGAGAAAAATGAGGCGCTCTGCTCCCGCAAAGATTTACAGCCTCAAAAACCCTGTACAGGGTTTTATAACTATAGTACTTGTGTTATAAAATCAATCAGCTGATGGATTTTTGGGCTATTAACACTCACAGTTTGATCTTAACCAAAAATTTTCATGCTTTTCCTTAGCCACTAGATTCTTTGTCACGTACCCTTTCTCCATAAAAGAGTGCTGGTTGGAGATAAAGGATGCACAAAACTAAAGTCGGCTTACTCAGGTTTTTGAAGGTTCAGTGATCTAACCTTTTCTTGAGTGGTGAGAACTTCTTGGGAAGTAACAGATGCCTTGTTGTTGTTAAGGGCTGTCAAGTCAGTTCCTACCCATAGCAACCCTATGTAGGGTTTCCAAGGAGCGGCTGCTGAGCTTGAACTGCCGACCCTGCAGTTCACACTGACTTTTGCAGTCCAGCATATTAACCCAGTGGGTGCAATATTAGCCTTCAGCAGTCTAGGAGTAAAGGTTTATAACAAATCCTGCTAATAACTATTTGACTCAGCCAATCATTTTTGCCTATCCTGGCTCCTAACAGCCTCTTCAAACCATCACACCTGAAGAAAAACCAAAAATTTTATCACGGGCATGTCAGCCTGATTTTTCCAATATTGCTTTAAGGTGAAAGAAAATCATTAAAGGTTTAAATAGGGGATCGAGTAATGATATTTTGGATTTAGCAAAAGATCTCTCTGGGCTACCTTTCGGCCCGTGTATTGGAGGGACAGCAGTAGATACGAGAGACTTGTTAGGAGACTAGTACAGTAGTCCTGGGGTGCTTTAATGGTGACTAGACTAGGTAGTAGTAGTGTAGGGTCAGAGAGAAGTAGAAGAATTTAAGAGCTGTTTGGAGTTACTTAAACAGCGTGGTGGATAAGATTCTGATTTACTGGTGAATAAGTGGCACTGTGGGATAATGCACTAGACCGCAAGGTCGGCAGTTCAAACTCACCAACTGCTCCTTGAAAACCCTATACAGGGTCACTATGAGTCAGAACAACTCGATGGCAGTTAACAGTGATTGATTTCGTGAACTAGGAATGAAACTGTAGGTGAAAAAAGATAGTTGAGGAGTGAGATAGGCAGTTCAGGAGCATGAGTTTAATTCTGACCATGTTGACTTTGAATTAACTGGAGTGACAGCAAGTTACATGTTCTATATAAGGGTATAGACAGAAAATTTGGAAGTTAGTAGCTTATAAATAGTAATTGAAGCAACTGAAAGAATCACTTAGAGAGAATGTAGAGACTACAGCCCCATGGTTTGCTAATATATAGTAATTAAGGAGAAGAGGAGCAGCTGCAAAGAAATCTGATTCCCCCACCCCAACCCCCATCTCCCCCAGCAGCCAGAGAAGTAGGGAGAAAACCAAGAGACTGAAATAAAAGAGGGAATGCAGACTAAAAATTATTCACTGACTTTAGCAATGTGGAACTCATCTGTGATATTAGCAAGAGTATTTTCAGTGATGTGATACTTACATGGAATTAGAATGGGAGATAAGGAAATAGAGACTGGAAGAGACAACTATTTCAAGAAGGTCTTCTTACAAAAAGGAGAGTAAGTTAGAAGTGGTGGTGGTGTTCTGTGGAGTTGGTTTTGACTCATAGCCACCCTGTATAGAGTTTCCAAGGCTGTAACTCTTTACAGGAGCAGAAAGCCTCATCTTTCTCCCTCAGAACCACTGGTAGTTTCGAACTACCTGACCTTGAGGTTAGCAGCCCAACTCGTCACCACTACGCTACCAGAGCTCCTTAAGGTAGAAGTTGTTGTTGTTGTTATGTGCTGTGAAGTCGGTTCCAACTCATAGCAACCCCGTACAGGGTTTGGAAAAGATGTGGTTAGGGATACTACCTCCCTTTCCTCGCATCATTGTCATTTCACTGGTGGTACTAGCAGCAAGCGCCGACTTAAGTTGGCTCTCGCTCAGCATTGACAGAATGGCTGGACCTTCTTGCTGGTCCTAAGCCTGGTTCCTTAGTGACACATGCTTTTGTTTTCCTTGTCACAGGGTAAGGATGCTGGACTCATCACCAGCACTGAGCAAGGTGGGGCACCAACATTAAACCAGCTCTTCTGCTTCCACAACAGGAGGTTCTGGGGGAAGAAAAGCTGAAGGAGATCCTGAAGGAGCGGGAACTTAAGGTTTACTGGGGAACAGCAACCACAGGCAAGCCACATGTGGCTTACTTCGTGCCCATGTCTAAGATTGCGGACTTCCTGAAGGCAGGTTGTGAGGTAAGACCTAATGCTGTAAGCCACACCACTGCCCTTGGGAAGTGGGCAAAAGAAAGGTTTGACAAGGTCGGGTGGAGGAGTACTTGGACAAGTTCACATCTTGGTGGTCCCTTTCCAGGTAACGATTCTGTTTGCAGACCTCCACGCATACCTAGATAACATGAAAGCCCCGTGGGAACTTCTAGAACTCCGTACCAGCTACTATGAGAATGTGATCAAGGCAATGCTGGAGAGCATTGGTGTGCCTTTGGAAAAGCTCAAGTTCGTAAAAGGCACTGACTACCAACTCAGCAAGTAAGTGCTTGATCACCCACTCTACTGGCTCTAGTTCGTTTAGTTAATTACAGGCCTGCGGAATCCAGGCACTCTTAAAATTTGGAGAAGCTGTTTGGGTTTACCTAATAAAAACCACTAAAAACTTTATGTCCTTTGTGCTTTTAAATCATCTATGAAAAATGTACTGTCTAGTAAATGCCTGAGTACTGTCCTTCTATTTGCTAGAGACATAAATCCAATCATAACAAAGTTCTTTGCCTTGAAGAGCTCACAGCATTTGGGAGAATAATAGTAAACAGTGCAGCCTCCCCTTCTCTTTCCAGTCTGAGCCAAAAATATTAAAGGAAATGAGAAAGAAATAGATTTCACTTATTTCCCATTTCCCATAATAACAGTTTTATTGCTTCTTATCTTGTTCTATTCATGTTTATAATGTTCCCTTAGATAGAATTTTATATCCCAATTTAAGTTACTCTTTCCTAAATAATTATTCATCCTGCCTGATAGTCTCCATAATCTTTCATTTTTAAAACCTCTCAAACAGTCTTTATGACTTCATACCATGTATCACTACTAGGTACTTTTGCATTTAAGCCCTCAGAACAACTTTTCAAGGTAAGCAATCTTTTAGCCAGTTTCACAGGTAAGGAAATAAACTGAGTTTTAATTTTCCCAAGTTCATACAGCTAGTGAGTAAAGAGTCTGAATGTGAGTCCAGTTCTCTTGCTCACAAGTAAATCCCTTTTTTTTTTTACTTCATCTAACCTACTTTTCTTTACCATAACCCACTGTTGACATTTAGAATTTTAATTACAGTATATAAACACCTTTACAAAGACAGATGTTTGGATTTGTTGCCTCAGTAGAGTGCATGAGGTTTTTATTTTTCACATTTAATCTACAGCTATTTATGAATCCCTGATAGGCTAAGTAATGAGCCTGGTGACACAGTGATTAAAGTACTTAGCTGCTAAATTAAAGGTCAACAGTTTGAATTCACCAACTGCTCCTTGGGAGAAAAGGTGTGGCGGTCTGCTCTCCTATATGGATTTGCTGAGTCAGAATCAACCCGATGACAAAGGGTTTGGTTTGGTTTTGTTGAAGATGGCGGTTACCAGAAAAAGAGAAATTAACAAGTGTTGGTAAAAATGTGTAGAAATTGGAACCCTCATCTTTGGCTGTTGGGATATAAAATTGTGCAGCCACTGTGGAAAAGTTTGGCAAGTCCTGTAAAACTTAAACATAAAATTACCATATGACCCAGCAATCCTGTTCATAGGTATATACTCAAAAGATTTGAAAGCAGGAATTCAAACAGATGTATATCAGTGTTCGTTGAGACATTATTCACAAAAGCCAAAATGTGAAAACAACCAAACAGAAAAATGGATAAACAAATTGTGATGTATATCTATACTGGAATGGTACTCAGCTATAAAGAGAAATAAAGGTGCAATAGATGCAAAAACATGGATGAATCTGGAAAACATTATGCTGAGTGAAGTAAGTGAAACATAAAAGGATAAATACTGATTGCATGTGGAAATATGTGTTCCTTATTCCTCTAGGAACAGGAATAGATCCATAACATGCTACATTAAAAAAAATACAATAGGAGTTTTCAGGGCTACCAACCTTACAGTAGAGGTTGAGTAGTAGTATATTTCTCCTACATAAAGAGAAAAAAAGCCCCATTTATATGAAATATCTAAAATAGGCAGTTGCAATAAAGACCAAAGTTTATTAGTGGTTACCAGGGATGGTGGAGTCCTGGTATGGCACGGTAGGATAAGCACTGGACTACCAACCACAAGGTTGGCAGTTCAAACTCACCAGCCACTCAGAAATCTGATACAGAGTCACTGTGAGTCTGAACCAACTCGACAGCACTTAACAACAAGAAGAACCCGGGACAGATGGGACGGGGTGAAGATTAGCTATTACGTAGGTAGCACTGAGTTTCCTGTTAAGGGTAAGGAAAACATTTGGAAATACACAATGGTAATAGTGGAACATCATGGTCAACGTAATTAATGTCACTGAGTAGTTGTACATGTAAAAATGGGTAAAATGACAAATGTTCTGTTAATATCTTCTTAAAAAGTTTTAGATGTGAAAAAATATATACATGTATTGTCAGTAATAACAATAAAAATAAAGTGAGTGCTGAGAGGGAAAAAAAAAAGTAAATCCAGTAGAAAACTCTGAAACAAGCTTTTCATAGAAGAAACCTGAATGTGTAATAAGCAAAAGAAAAGATTTTCAGGTTTCTTGGTTACTATTCAAAGAAATGTAGATTTTAAACTATAGTGAGAGCCATTTCATGCTCACAAGATTGACAACAATTTTTAAACAATGACAATATAAAGTAATAAAAATTGGTTAACTCACTTTGGAAAATAGCTTGACATTCAGTAAGTTCAAGATGCCAGTTCCCGAAATTCAGTCTACCCTAGGCGTAAATAGAGAAAGTTGCATAGCAGGATGCGTATTCAAGAATATTTACAACACGTTATTTAGAGATACAAACAAAGACTGGAAAGAAACATAAATGTTCAGAATAGTGATTATTCCATATGAGGAAGGAGTGGAATAGGATCATAGAGGGGCACTCAGGAGCTTCACAGCAATTGTTACGTCCTTTTTCTTAAACTGGTGAATGAGTATGCTGTTCTCGATATTGTTCATTATTCCTTAGATGTACTTAAGTTTTGAAAAAATAAAGACATGGAAGACAGATTGAGAGAGTCACTTAACAACAATTATCTAATTGGCGTTCCAGAAGAAAAGTTCTATTTTGAATGAGAGCATGAGTCTCAGAAACCATCACACAGTGCTCCCTTTGAAGGTTTTAGGATTGGGGGAATAAATGAGCAATGGGGGGAAAATGGGTATCCACATGGCAACCTTTACCAGATTAAATCAGCACTGGTGTGCTTTAGGGTCTCCCTGGGAAACTGAAGCCTTGGCCTAGTTCTGTAGCTGTTCCCTCTTCCTTTCCTCCTCAGAGAGTACACACTAGATGTGTACAGACTCTCCTCTGTGGTCACACAGCATGATGCCAAGAAAGCTGGAGCTGAGGTGGTAAAGCAGGTGGAACATCCTTTGCTGAGTGGTCTCCTGTACCCTGGACTGCAGGTACTTATGAGGAAGATAGCCCCAGCTTGCCTTTTCTGCTATGTTTCTAACAACTGGACACAAACCTTCATCTTAGCTCCATTTACTAGCACACTTCCTGTCCCTTTACCATACCCTAGACCTTCCTTCCTGTCTCTCTCTCTAGCATTCTTTACTTCCTGGAGCACTTCTACATGAATTCACTTGTAACTCCTTCCCTACTGTCTATCCTTTAAGACATTGCTCACCTCATCTTCATTTTGCTAATCATAATATCTTAATTTAAGAAAATCAATTTCAGAGTGATATGTAAAAATAAATTTCAGCCATGGCCCTATTTTCCATTAAATAAAACAAAAAATCATACTTCATATTTTTGTAGGAAGAAGGAGGAAAATGGAAAATTAATACTAATTACCTAAATGCTATCTAGCCACATGTGGCCAGCAGATACCATATTGGGCACCCCTCACATATATAATACAGCATTGCAACAAGTTCTGTTGCACAGTGGTGTTCTAGGTTCTTCCATTCCTGTTGGTTCCCCTTCTCTTCACTCTCTCATTCCTCTCTGCCCCACCCATCCCCAGTCTAGTCAGGCACCAGATCTTATCAATTTTACTTCTTAAAAAGAGCTCAGATTCAATCTTGCTCTACATTCCCACTGCCTTGCTTCATCAGCCTCTCACGTGGCCCTACAGCAGCCTTCCCACTGTTTTCCCTGTCTCCCACTCACAAGCTTCCAATGCATGCTCTGCCCTGTTGCTGCTACAGTGCTTGTCATATTTTGCCTTCAAACCATTCACTGGCCAGGAGAGAGCTGGGCCAAGATTGCCTATACAGAGTCGCTATGGGTCAGAACTAACTCTGAAGGCACTTAACAACATCACTCTAACCACTTCCTACATCCCTTTAAAGTTGTACTTTTGCAAACCAAATCACTATAGTTCTCCTACATGCTTCACACCTGGGTGTTGATGCATTGTTTCCTCTTTGAGGTGAAAACCCAAGCATATGTTCTTCAAAACCCAGCACAACCCACAAACTGATTCTAGAAAGCCTGGTCTAAGCAGATAGAGATAATCATTTATTTGTGTTTTGTGTTCCTCTAATTAACTGTACAGGGTCGCTATGGGTCGGAACCGACTCGACGGCACTTAACAACAACAACAACAACAATTAACTTCTAGGTTAGCCCTTGGCATACTGTATTCAAATGATCTGTTTCTGTGTCTGTGGATAATTGGACTTCTAGAATCAGAATCTGGCTTTGATTCATCTATGTGTCCACAGGGCTGGCACTAGGCCAGGCATGTAATAAGTGTTGGTAACTTGGTTTACCAGTTCAGCTTTGCCTGTTTTCTGGGCTTGTGTAGCATGTACTTGTGTATGCCACGTATTTGACATTTGTCACAGGTTGCTTTTTTCATTGGGGACCTTTTGACATGACTAGTTTTCTTCTGATGTGGTTCCCCTATGACATCTGATGAAGTCTTGTTGTTTATAGGTACTGTAAGAAATAACTCCTTTGGGCGTGGTCCATTTTCAGGAATTCATGAGATTGCTAAACCAGGCAAACAGACTGTTTTAAGCAGGCTATTCTAGGACTAGGAAATTTAAATAAGAATACAGCCATTAAGACCATGGGCAAGCCATTTTGGCTTCTCTGGTGGTGGTTATGTGCCATGAGTCTGAACCAATTCATAGCGACCCTGTACAGGGTTTCCAAGGCTGTAAATCTTTACAGGAGCAGAAAGCCTCATTTTTCTCTCACAGCACAGCTAGTAGCTTTGAACTGCTGAACTTAAGGTTCGCAGCCTGATTCGTAACCACTATGCTACCAGAGCTAGAGTGGGAGGGGGGATGTGCCATAGAATTGTATATGGGGAGCTAGAACTGGAGGAGGGGCTTTTGGGAGATAATAAAAACTGTGGCCGGCTATGTGATGCATCTACCCCTGTCTATTGGGGTGGCTGCCCGATTTCACAAAATCGAATAAAGAAAACCTCACTCTCACTAAAGTGAGTACACATTGGATTACTTGAGCGTTTGTCAGTATAGCCAACGTTTCTCACAGTACTGAACAAATGTTTACTTGTAAAGGTTTTAAGGCTATCAGAGAAGCTGAATTGTGTTCATTTGCTTCCTGGCTCAACCTTGAAGAATACATTGAACAATATAGCAATTGCCAAAATTTTCTGATTAAAGAAACATGACCAGGAGTTTATACACTTTTTTTTTTCTCTTCACAGGCTTTGGATGAAGAATATTTGAAAGTAGATGCTCAATTTGGAGGTGTTGATCAGAGAAAGATTTTCACCTTTGCAGAAAAGGTTAGTGTCCTCTTTCCTAACTTCTCTGCTTTGCGTCTCAGAGGTGTACAACTGAAGTTTATTGAACTGTGATGTACCAGTCCCACAACCACAGTGGTACTGCCTGGTAAGTATTAATTTTCTTTGTTTTACAGATGAGACAACTGAGCCTAAACTGAAGTTAAATATGATGCTTAACTGGATAAGAAAGTTGTCCTGTGTCCTCCAATTAGTGACTGCGCCGTTCTCACAGTCATTACTATGCTTGAACCCAGTGTTGCAACCACTGTTTCAGTCCATCTCATTGAGGGGCATCTTCTTTTTTGCTGACCCTCTGTTTACTTTTCCAAGCATGATGTTCTCCAGGAACTAGTCCCTCCTGATAACATGTCCAAAGTATGTGAGATGAAGTCTCGCCATGCTTACTTCTAAGGAGCATTCTGGCTGTACTTCTCCCAAGATAGATTTGTTCATTCTTCTGGCAGTTCATAGTATATTCAGTAGCTTTCCCCAACACTGTAATTCAAAGACATCAGTTCTTCTGTGTTCAGCCTTATTCACTGTCTAGCTTCCGCATGCATATGAGGTGACTGAAAATACTGTGGTTTAGGTGAGGCTTACCTTAATCATCCAAAATCACACCTTTGCTTTTTAACAAAGCATGAAGATGTCTTTTGCAGTCAATCTGGCCAATGCAGTACATCATTTGATTTCTTGCCTGCTGCTTCCATAGGTGTTTATTGTAGACCCATGTAAAATAAAATTCCATCTTTTCTCTGTTTATCATGATGCTGTGTATTGGTCCAGTGCTGAGGATTTTGGGTGTATGTTGAGGTGTAATCCATACTAAGGCAGTAGTCAACTGCCTCTTGGTCTGTATACAGATTCCACATGAGTACAATCAAATGTTCTAGAATTTCCCTTCTTCATAGTGCTCTCTGAAAGCAGTATTCTCTGCTTTCAGCCAAGATCCATATGACATCAGCCATTATATCCCTAATTTCACATCTTCTGAATCTGGCTTGATTTTTCTGGCCGTTCCCTGCCCGTGTATTGCTTCAATGTTTTTAAATTATCTTCAGCAAAATTTTACTTATGTGTAATATTAATATTATTCAATAATTTCCACATTCTATCTAGTCACCTTTCTTTGAAATGAACACAAATATGAATCTGTTCCAATTAGTTGGTCAGTTAGCTGTCTTCCTAATTTCTTGGCATAATAGAGTGACTGCTTCCAGTATTTTATCCATTTCAATTGTTGAAACCTCTCGGTTGGTATTCTGTCCATTCTTGGAACCTTGTTTTTTGCCAATGTTTTCAGTGTAGCTTGGAGTTCTTTCTTCAGTACCATCAGTTTTTGATCATATGCGCTACCTCTTGAAATGGTTGAACATCAACCAATTCTTTTTAGTACAGTGAATATGTATCTTTCATCTTTTGAGGCTTCCTGCATCATTCAGTATTTTACCCATTGAATCCTTCAGTGTTGCAATTCAAGACTTGATTTTTTTTTTTTTCCTTTAGTTTTTTTCAGGATTGTTGAGTGCGTTCTTCCCTTTTGATTTCTATCTCCAGGTCTTTGCACACTTCATTATAATACTTTGTCTTTTCAAGTAATGTTGTTACTGAATCTTCTCCAATCCTGATGTCATGTTCTTCTTCATATAATCCAGTTCCTCCGATTATGGGCTCAACATACAGGTTGAAAAGTATGGTGAAAGAATACAACCCTGGCACACGACTTTTCGAATTTTAATCCATTCAGTGTTCCCTGTTCTGTTCGAACAACTGTCTCTTGGTCTATGTACAGGTTCCTCAATGAGCACAATTAAGTGTTCTGGAATGCTCATTCTCCTCAATGTTGTCCATAGCTTGTCATGATCCACACAATCGAAAGCCTTTGCATAGTCAGTAAAGCACTGGTAAGCATCTTTCTGGTATTCTCTGCTTTCAGCTAAGATCCATCTGATGTCAGCAATGATATCCCTCATTCCACGTCCTCGTCTGAATCAGGCTTGAACCTGTCAATGTGCAATTGCAGCCATTTTTATTTTTAGCAAAATTGTATGTGCGTATGAAATAATGATATTGTCCAATGGTTTTCTCATTTCATTGGATCACCTTTGATCTCTTTGGAATGAGCACAAATACAGATCTCTTCCAATCAATTGTCCAGGTAGTTGTCTTCCACATATCTTGGCATAGATGAGTGAGTGCCTCCAGTGCTTCGTCTGTTTGTTGAAAGCTTTCAATTTGTATTCCATCAGTTCCCAGAGCCTTGTTCTTTGCCAGTGCCTTCA